CATTCTTATTTCACAGTGTGTTAAAAGTCAGATTTATGGAGAGCTTGCTGTCAGTTATGATTTATAGTTGCATANATTTTTATAGATGATTGAAACAGAGTGTTTCCGAGAACTCAACGTGATGGAAGAGAATGGTGAACTAGTGTCGGATTTGCGTAATGACTCGATTAAGGGTGGAAAGAACAAAAGTGAATCTAATAACAAATTTAGATTTCTCGCACAACTGTTCAAGCGAAAAGTATGCTTTTGTTATATTTCCCTTTTCAGTCCACCATTTCCAATCTTATCGTTATTTTTTTTGTGTGGTATTTCAGTTTTACTTTTGGACATTTTCATTCCTTATACATCCCTCTAACTTTTACCAGTCAACCGAAATAATCATTTTAAAAGTAAACGATATAAAGCTAATAAATGAAGTACATCTTGCAGGCCTGATTTTACTGCCATCGCAGTGTCTTTACCGCTGAATGTGTTCCGTTCTATTTATTTACTAGCTAGAAGTCGCTTCTCAAGATGGATCATTGCAGCCTGGCCACTTTGATCAAAAGCATTTTTCATATAATTTGTTCCGGTTTTGAAATCTGATTCTAATTAGCAGTGGTTTAATATGAGCACAGTAACTATTGTAGATATGTACTTCAGCGAGAGGGAAAAGATGACAGGGTCAGTAGGTAACTATGGAATTATTTTTACCATGTGGTGTAATCTCAGCTCTAACTCAATGCATCTGGTCGTCATCAATCATTTTCAATCGTGTCCTCTTGCTGATACATTCGTATGTCAAATTAATGGCAAATAACAGCGTATATTCATAAAATGAATTTTCCTTTGCTTTTGCTATAATTTAGTCGTTGTCATCCAATGAGCGCAGTTTTTTTTGCGTAGACTTATTTTTGTTCAACTTAGTTGCTCTTATCCGATGATACTCGCAAAACTTTTGTCTTTTATCTCTTTCCATTCCGATGTGACGTCGGGAATGTCACGAGACTAGGGAACTGGATAGTTGTTTCGTCATTTTTGTAAAATTTTTCACGAAAAAATTGAGGAATCGACTGCTCTCCCACTTTCGAAATAATATTACAAGATCGGAAAGAAGTTTCTTTTTTTGTCACAATATGCTTTGTATTATTACCTATCGTGTGAAAAAAAAGGAAAAAAAAACTATAAAGCTTTAGAGTTCTTTGAGAAAAAATGTTATATAAAGTGATCGGTTATAAAGAGTAAAAGCATGCCGAGCAGTTTTGCATATTTTACTTACGAGAGAAGTTATGTCTGAAATGAAAATTTACGAAGTCCAACAGAAATCTTAAAACCTTCCTGCATCGAAGATTATGATACCATCTTGATCTTATCGTTAGTTGTCATAGGTAAGTTCCTGGAAATACCCGGCTTGATTGCGTCCCGTTACATAGAAGTTGTTGGGTGCGATAGAGGGAGTCGCTTCATTGAACAGATTATATTTTTGTGAATTGTTACTTATGTGTCTCTTCAAATCGACTTCTGAAAAGAAATTTACTGGTTACTGGGAGAGTGGCAACGATAATGAATTGATTGGGGAAATAGACTGCAAGAAACAACGAGTAATTGAATTGGCGCTAATTGTTGTACTTCCAAAGAACTAAAATCCACAGCGATAGTCTTCGTCATAGCCATCCGTCCGCTGTAGGTATTTCAAGACGTTTTTTACTGAAGACTTGACGAAGATTGTGAATGCTGCCTGTATGGTTTCAAACAGTGCAACAACCAATCTTGGTATTATAAGGTGGATGTGAAACATTTCGTTGCTACCTTCTTCCTTCTCGCTAATGAATACAGTTAGGATTCTAGTGATATGTTCAGGCTCCGTGGGATCTGACACTAAATTACCATCTCTTGTACGATGTAAAATATGCTTATAGTGTCTTCAGGTTTATATAAAATCTTAGGGTTTATTCAGAAGAGCTGAAAACGAAATACCTTGGCGGTACAAAATGTCGTTAAGGATGTCAGTACTTGGAAGTATGTGGATGGTGTGAGTGAGAGTAATAAAAGACCAGACATTCTGATCAGAAATCTCACCTCCAACAATATCCGGATTTAACCTTTAATTTAGTTGTAGGTGACCGCTGATGTTTAAACGTTTACCTGGAATCGGGCGCTGTATATACTGTAACCGGTTAACTGACATTTCATTAAGTGCAGGCAAATCTAAATGAAGCATTTCATTTGTGAGCTGTTCTTATCAATAGGTGATACTTCTTATACCACTGAAAATTCGTCATATTGCAATGGTAACTAATACTTTTATACTATTATTTTTCTCTTCCTTTTTTTTGAAGTTTAATTCGCTGACCATCACCTAATTAATTTAATTCATAGGTAATTAACAATTTAGATGTAATTCAAACTGGAATATCTCGAAAGAACTTACCCTTTTTGTGAGTTGTTCTCGTTGCATCCTACCGTCGGTTTTTCTTTTCGTTGGTTTTCCTGATGAATAAACGGGCTCAAGAATATAAAACATCTATGCGATAATTGGTATGCCAATCGTTCTCTTTGTCTTTTTCACAAAGTTGAGGTAGTAAAATTGAGAAGAGTGATATCTGTTATAGTTATCGTGAATTTCTAAGTTCAAACTTTTCCTAACATAACATACTCGTGCGTTTCATAGCTTCTTGATTTTCTGTACCTATATTTTTATAAGCGGATCTAATTGTTTACCAAAGCTTTAATTTGAAAAACATATTTCATAACTTTGTGAAGAAATTATGTCCTCTCCGGTATTCTCTCGTTGGATATATACCACCGTTTTTCTTTTTTTTTTAGGTATTCAGAAAAACCAAAATTTTACACTGCGCTAACTTTACCAATAATGGTCATTCCTATCTTGTGCATTATTGACAAACTTACTTCTTTTCCTAAAAAAAAAAAAAAAAAAAGAAGTAAATCCTTCCCATTTCTTTTCTCTTTTTATTATTTTGTAAACGTGAAGAAGTTTTCCTTTCTACGACCTAGCGAAAAAGATGCACAAATTTCATGACATTTTTTTTAGAATGATTGGACTTTACCTGAAGAGCAAAGAAATAGGAAACTTACCTTTATTGCCATTAAGCGATTCATCTGTTTTTTCTTAGCCAGAAATGAATGAACAAATTTACAATATTGATAATGAAGCATGTGATTATGTGCTACATGCTATAAAAAAAGTAAAAAAATCGCAGCCATTGAGAGTCTTAATAAGAAAAAAACTTTGGGGCATATCAGGCCCAAGCGGAAACTCCTTTGTATGACTAAAGTACATTGTAACCTTTGGACGTTATTCTCATTATTTATGAAGGTTATCTTCATGGTGAATTTATATTTTAACGAGTCATATCATTCATATTTCTGAATTTGAATTATCTTTGGCCTTAGCATTTAGGTCAACTTGACATACTAAGGCACGAAATACGACCTGACAATCCAATAGTTTCGTTATTCCTGGTTTTAAGATTTGCAAAGTAATTACCGACGAAAAGTAAGGAAAAGTAATGGTGTGAGTTTTTTGGATCGTATTATTTTGAGAATCTTACGAAATGTTTCTGCAAAAAGAAATTTCTGGGACGATGGTTACTTGACAAGTTTCTCAGCGCGAAGCATATTTAAAAATGTCAACAGGTAGTTGAAGTGTTATGCTGGGGAAAAACTATTTTTAATGATGCTTTTGCAGATATTTTTTTCTTCATTTACGGGAAAAAAAGGGGAATTAAATTTACGACAGCTGTGTAGGATGTGCTAGAGGAAGAAACCCTGCAAATAGCTACCAAGAAGGAATTGGCCAGCATATAGTTGATTGACCACTTCACTAACTGAATTATTCGTCGGTTTCAACTCACTGTTGGATTACCGATTCAACTACACGACACATGCCGCGCTGTATGAAAATTCCTCGGAAAAAAAAGAAGCACGTAGCATAAGCTATTTTGTGCATTTCATTTTGCAGGAAAGAAAAAAAAATGTATCGAAATAACGGTCATTCTTGTTGAAAAAAAAAAGGTGAAAGTAGTTTACTTCGGTTATTTACTAACTATTCAGAAACATGAAAATTAGGGTAGTCCTTTATGATGCACATAATAACTGAAATAGAGATTCAAAAAAATTCTTTTGAAATATTTTAAATGCTTCTTGAATTACTTGCTTCAATTTCATTCTTCTCCCACCTTCATCACATCAATAGAATTTAGTTCAGTTCTTTCCATTCACAAGGGATCATCTAGATTCTATTGTGGATAACAAGTGATGATGGTGATTGGGCATATTAAGCGTAACATGACAGATAATAAGTTGAACATCACAACTAAACTTTATTAACATATAAGTTAAATGAACATCTTGATAGCTCAAAATTGTTGATTTCATTTAGAGTAACAGACTAACAAGCCTGTCCAATATTTGGACACTTCATTGCTAGTAAACATTACTCTGACTTTAGCTAACATCAGCTTAAAACTTAAGTTTTGATCCGAAAGAAGTGAGCCACATGACTTTTATCAGCCTTTTCATATGCAAATATATGTGATAACATTTGTCCATCCACAGTGTTTATCAATCCGGTTGGTTTATACTAACAAACTTGGCTAAATTCTGGCAGTAAATTTTGCAAATGACAAATTTACGGATGTTTCTTTTTTTTGGGACGCTCGTTTGAATGCGCGCCTCGCTAAGTTATATAGTAGTTCCTTGAGTCGATCCAACTATCCATGCCATGCCATCGAAATGTTCGCTTGTCGTATAGCATATATTACCACTCCAACCATACGTATGCCATCCGACTTTTCTGAGGTTCTGCAGACCACCCACGACGTTTCGAAAATGCTTGGCATAGTGTTTGTTTGCTGCAGCAGAAGAATTTTGTCCGATGATGAAAGGTCTCGTTGCTGCTAGACCACCCAAAGTGTTATGTCTCACTATCATCAGTAAAGTGGTGGTAAGGAGCATGTTGGTAATGGTTGGCGATGATGCAAAACAAGTGCGATGTGCGATAACTCCATCATCCACATCTATTTAGGCTGTCCATTTCTATTTGAATATTTCTTGTGGATAACTCCCGAGAATAACTCTCTAAACTTCTTTTTTTTCACAGCAGTAGATAGCACTACAATTTGCTCCCATTTAATTTGATTATTTTCATATTGCTTCATATGAGTACCGAAGAATGCAGCATATCTGCTAATCATGATTTTCAATATTAGCGATTGTTTTCGAAATTAGAACACATTTTTAATTTTGGTATCCTCAGTGGATAGGTGAACAGAAGAAGTAACCAAATGAGGAAATAATCCCAAACGAATTTGTTGCTATTGGCGAAAGTTTACATATATATATATATATATATATATTATTTATTTATTTATTTATTTATTTGTTTATCTATCTATCTATTTACTCATTTGTTTATTTATTTATTTAATTAATTAATTAATTTATTTATTTACTTATTTATTTATTTATTTATTTGGTCAATT